GCGCCTGTGGTCCCAGCTACTTGGGAGGCTGAGGCAGGAGAATTGCTTGAGCCCAGGAGTTGGAGGTTGCTGTGAGCTGTGATTGCCACAGCACTCTACCCAGGGGTATAGCTTGAGGCTCTGTCTCAAAAAAAAGAAAAAAAGAAAAATACTGCTTTAGGCTCAGCACCATAGCTCAGTGGTTAGGGCACCAGCGACATACACTGGGGCTGGCAGGTTTGAAGCCAGCCCAGGTCTGCTAAACAACGACAACTACTACAACAAAAAAATAGCTGGGCACCAATAGTCCCAGCTACTTGAGAGGCTGAGGCAAGACAATCGCTTAAGCCCAAGAGTCTGAGGTTGCTGTGAGCTATGACACCACAGTACTCTACTGAGGGCAACACAGTGAGACTCTGTCTCAATAAAAAATACTGCTTTAGTGGTATTATATAGCACAGAAGTAAACATACAAATAAACAGTGAACCAGTGTCTCTCTCAGAGCAAAAGTCCTACTTGAGATTGTATAAATAAAATGTGATGAGAACAAGAAAACCACACTAAAGAACATAGTCCACATAGCTCTAAACAAAACAAACACAAGGGAGACAAAGCCATTATGAGGTGAAAGAAACTATAATCAGCAACTCCTGACATCAACGTGTACACAAAATGGAGATTTAGTTAAAAAATCAAAAACAAAAATAAAATGCCCCACTAAGCTGAATTAAATATTTTTTTTCTCCAAGATAGGTCAGAGAATTTTAAAGAAGGCAGAGGGCATTAGTCCAACCCTCCCATTTTACAGACAAGGAAGGAAAAATCCAGAAAGGTTTTCATCGTTCTGTCCATTGTGGTAAAATACTGATGGAAAGTACTCACTCTAGTTTCTGAAGAATGTTGTCAATATAAGCTTAAACATCAGTGGCTATCATCTTCTCATAACTGTCTCTCAGATAAAAGGGAGCTAATGGATCATCACTACTTTGTTCTTGGGGATTTTCCGAGTATAGCTACCTACAGCAGGAGTTCCCAGACCAGGGCCTTTGGCCTCACTAGAAAACTTCTTAAAAATGTAAATTCTCACGCCATACTCCCTTCCCAGCTCAGATAAAAGGCATCCCTTGAGAAAATTCCAAAGCCATAAAATATTTTCTGAGATGAGATAAAACTCACCTCATCAAATGACTTGTGGGGACGGATAACCATTTGGGACTCGTATGATCTGACCCTGACGAATTCCGGTGATTCTGGCACACTAGGGTGCTCCACAGCACTGGTAAGGAGGAGAGGTAAAGCAAACTCTTAGTATAAGACAACAGGAGAGCTAAGGTTAAAGGGGAAGACCTAAAAAACTGGGTCTAATTTTTAAAACAAACACAACAGAGGAGTCACTTAAATTTATACAGCAAAAAAAAAAAAATTAAATGAATAAATAAAGTAAAACAAAAAAAATTTATACAGCCAAAGTTCTAAAAATGAAATTAGTCCTTTGGTAATTTATGGCTCACTAGGCTTTGTGTTAAAGATGATAATATTTCTCTTTTTAACATGAAGAAACCCCAAGAAACTGTTTAACTTAAAGCTTGCATCTCTTTATCCTTCCTAGACAGTAACTGCCCACTCATCACCTAGCTGGAAGGATGGGCACTGGCCACTGGGAAGCTGTGGGAGACCCACCATGGCACTGAGAACATGCAAACTCAGATTTATATGAATCTATATGAAGGGCACAGCTAGAGGAACTTAGCAAAAGCCACAGGCAGCCATACGTACCGTGACACCAACACCATCATGTTGTTTTCCCGATCGACACTATACCGCCGAACGTAAACATAATCCCGTGAATACATTGGATACTAAAGAAATGGAAGAGCTGGATTAGTGTTCTGCATTACACAGACTTAATAGAAGTAAAACTGGAAGTAAACATACTCACAGGAAAATGGGTTACCCAATGAAGAACCTCAGAACCACTAACCACATCCCTCTCGATCACCTCCAGCTTGATCACCAGGGCATCCCACTTTTTTCTATACTCTGTGTCTAGCTGTAGAGAGAAAGAAGACCATGGAGACCCAAGAACACCAAAACAAAAAAGTAGGTATTTTTGTTTGGTCTCTCACCCAAGGACTTTATTATGAGAAATAGTGATCAGAATTAATAGTGCCAAAGTATGAAAGACAAAACTATTTTTACCATAGATGAGTCTTTTAAAACCCATTTGTTTAAGTCAATATCATTGAAAGGAAAAGTGAAAGAAAAACAGATACATCTGGGAAAAATACTAAATATATAGTGATATAAATGTACAAGAATAAGACAACTCCAAAAAGTTTTAAACTGACAAAAAGTCCAAAAGTATGAGCAGATGCTTCACACAAAAAAATGCAAGTAGCCCATTTTTAACAATTTCTGGCATCACTAGTAACTGAAGAACATTAAATTAAGACAGATAGGGGATGGTGCCTGTGGCTCAGTGAGTAGGGTATCAGTTCCATATACCGAGGGTGGTGAGTTCAAACCCAGCCCTGGCCAAACTGCAACAATAAAAAATAAAAAATAAAATTAGTTAAAAAAAAAAAGATAGATAGGCTTGGCGCCTGTAGCTCAAGCGGCTAAGGTGCCAGCCACATACCCCAGAGCTGGTGGGTTTGAATCCAGCCCAGGCCACCAAACAATGATAGCTATAACCAAAAAAAAAATAGCTGGCATTGTGGCAGGCACCTGTAGTCCCAGCTACTTGGGAGGCTGAGGCAAGAGGATCACTTAAGCCCAAGAGTTTGCGGTTGCTATGAGCAATGATGCCATGGCACTCTACGTAGGGAAACAGCTTGAGATTCTGTCTCTTAAAAAAAAAAAAAAATTAAGATAGATAAATATATACAAACCAACAAAAATTCAATACAAATTAACAAAATTCAGTGTTTAGGGCAAAGTGCATCTGCATAATCAGTTTAGCCAAAACAAATGAAAAATCCAAGAAAGAAAAAAAATTTACTGAGGACACCAGGTGATTCTACTTTCCCTTTTCATTTCTGTTTTAAACATTTCCTCCTCAAGGAAGAAAGCAACCTTTGAATAGATACTCTTTATCTTTAAAGACCTTCACTATGCAATGTTCCAGATTAAAAGAGGTTAAAGAGATGTTGACAACTAAATGTAATCCAGACTACAGGATGTAATCCTGACTTTATAGATTACTATGTAATCTATAAAGGATATTACAGGTTCAATTGATAAAACTTCAATACAAACAGAAGATTTACATAAAAGTAT